ATGAAAGGACCGATCATTGTTGCTGTCAGTCGCGAAGTCGTATCCGACCCATCGCGACCCTATGGACAACATTCCTCCAGGCCTTCTTGTCCTCTACCATCTTCTGGAGTCCACTTCAGCTCATGCCGACGGCTTCAGTGACTCCATCCAGCCACCTCATTCTCTGCCGTCCCGTTCTTCTTTTGCCCTCATTTTTTCAGTGCTGTAATAAGTTTGAACTAGTTATAAGTTGAGGACTACCTGTAATGCAAAAGGAGGTGACACGGCTGTCACTTCTTGTGGCTGTGAGCCTCTTTTGAAAAGCTAAGTCCAGGCTATTTGTCCTTCTAGAAAGAAGGAGATGATGGTTCATGAGAATGGAGAGCACCCAACCGGTTTGATTGTCATTGATAAGGGGTCCGTTCCCTTTAGATAAATTCCCATTTCTTTTCTGCTTTCTATACAATAACGGAGTAACAGAATAACAGTGTTGGAAGGAACTTTAGAGGTCTTCAGGTCCAATCCCCTGCGCAATATTATTTTGGACAGATAGCTGTCCAATCTCTTCTTAAAAACCTCCAGCGTTGGAACACCAAAAGCTTCTGAAGACAAGCCATCGCTCAGATCAATTGTTCTCCCATTAGGAAATTTCTCATTATTTCTAGACTGATTACTTTCCACCCACTGCTTCTTGTTCTGCCTTCAGTTGTTTTGGGGAACAGACTGACCCCCTCTTCTTTGTGGCAGCCTCTTAGCTATTGGAAAACAGTTATCATATCTCCTGTACCCTTCTCTTCATTCGATTAGACATATCTTTTTCCTGCAACTGTTCTTCATATGTTTCAGCCTCCAATCCCCTAATCTCCTATTTGGCCTCATCCTACAATTGTTAATAGTGCTGGATTTATTTTATTTTTTTGGTCCTTTTCTCTACAATCATTCAGATAGAATAGAATAGAATAACAGAGTTGGAAGGGACCTTGGAGGTCTTCTAGTCCAACCCCCTGCCTAGGCAGGAAACCCTACACCACTTCAGACAAATGGTTATCCAATCTCTTCTTAAAAACTTCCAGTGTTGGAGCATTCACAGCTTCTGGAGGCAAGTTGTTCCACTGATTAATTGTTCTAACTCTCAGGAAATTTCTCCTTAGTTTCAGGTTGCTTCTCTCCTTGATTAGTTTCCATCTATTGCTGCTTCTCCTGCCTTCAGGTGCCCTTGTTTGTGGCAGCCCCTGAGATATTGGAAGACTGCTATCATGTCTCCCCTAGATTCTTTCAGGTGACTCCTTACTTCGGAATGGGTTAAACAACTGGTTCGCCTACTGCAGCATCGAAAATGTGGACAAAAAACCGTGCGCTTCACTTGCGCACGTGCCTTCTGCGTTTGCGCATGGCTTGGGACATGCGGTGATTTCATGCGTGCGGCTTCCAGCACCACCTTCTCGGGCAGCTGCAGTGAGTAGGGTGAGTGAGCTGTAGAAATCTGCTCGGATGTGTGGGTAGGGTGAGTGAGCCAGAGAGTGAGATATATAGGATGGGATAGTACCAGGTGGTCAGAACTACAGGTACGGGTGAACCGATCCAAACCGGCTGCAGCCCACCTCTGCCTTACTTGCAAAGAACTTCTCTCCCTGTCTCCAGAATCACTCTTCTTTCCTTCCTGTTTCCTTTTGCATTACCCAGGCAGACGAAAGCTTTAAAACTCGATGCTGGGTTGGAAATGTTTCAGCTGTTTATTGGGGGCTGCATTTTAAAAGAGGCATCATTTAAATGATGAAATGCTGTGTCCTGCAGATAGAGCAGAAGATAGGATCTGTCAAATAGCTCCCACCTGGCTTGGAAAGTGTTCATAATCCTCAGTTTTGGACGGAGCAAGTGCCCGTGGCAATTTGCCTGCCTGCTAATTGCTTTCTGGTCTGTTGCAGGAGAACCAGCCTCATGCCAGTTGGCATGACACCTTCAGTGTCTCTTTCTTCCAATAGGAGCCGGGGATCTGGCAGGTTTCCAGGGAGGAGCAGATTTAAGGCTCCTCTATTTAGTGGAGATGGAGAAGACGGGAGAAATAATTCCTCTGGGAATTGCAGTTCGGCTAGCGTTTCTCCTTTCTGCTCTTTGGATACTCGACAACTAGCAACACCTACCGGGAAAGATTTGTCTCTGCCCCACACTCTCCCCTTCCTCCTTTTGAAGGAAGTTTATCTGAAACTGAGAAAGCAGGAGAAAAAGAGAAAGGAGTGGAAAAACGCATACTTGGCTTCACTGCTTTAAAAAGAAAAAAAAGAGAATAGAGACATGAGAGCAGAAAAACAAGACAATGTATTTCTCCCGCCTCCTATATAAAGCTTCCAAGAATGCTGCAGATCTTCTTTTTTTTATTAAGTTCCATTCTCCAGTCCAGTGGCAACTCTTCAGATTCACTGGGACTGTAACAGTTGATTGCAAAATCTGGAATTAATGCAGATCAGGAGGGCATTATGGCTGGAGATGCCTGGACTAAATCTCAGTTTCATATTACTGAGATTTTGAAAGTCACGACGAGACGATCTGCTGGAGAGATTTTGAGACTCTTCTCAAATCTGAACATCTTCTCAGATCTATGTCCATGTGTGTTGGTGTTCTTGGATCTCTTAGGATTAGAGTCCATGACAGGCTAATCCTCACTGACTTCACAAAAACTCTAGCACAGTTAAGGGCAGTTAAAATTTTGTTAGAAGGGTATCCGCCAACATTTCCTCCAACTATATCCTAAACGCCTCTCTTGATCCCTAGTTCTTCACAGCTTGGATCGCAAAACTAAAAATGGCAATAGACATAGAGAAAGCCCAAATGTGGGATAGAAAAATTTGCTTCGTTGCCAGGAAGATTTCATGTCGGATCTTTCAATGGGTGGCCTCAGGTAAAAAAAAGAAGACAGACAAGATAAAGAAGGTGCATTGATCCAGTTGTAATAGCCATAGCACTTAGACTTATACACTGCTTCACAGTGCTTTACAGCCCTCTCTAAGCAGTTTTACAGAGTCAGCCTCTTGCCCTCAACAATCTGGGTCCTCATTTTACCCATCTTGGAAGGATGGAAGGCTGAGTCAACCTGGATCCTGGTGGGATTCGATCTGCCCAATGGCAGACGGCCAGCAGCCAGCAGAAGTAGCCTGCAGTACTGCACTCTAACCACTGCACCACCAGTAGATGAGCAAAGAGCTCCTAGCCTCAGTCTTGTCTACCCACTATATATATCTATGAGGTTGTGAATTTCATTTCGCTTTCTTTGATCATTACAGTAACTTTTGGTCTGCAATCCTTCGCTTCCCTTGAGGAAATCTGTACAAGTAGCTCTCAACTTAAAACCATTTGTTAATTCACAACCATTTGAAGTTGAAACAAGTGTTGAAACAAGTGATTTATGACTGGTCCTCGCATTTTCGACTGTGGCAATATCTCCGTCGCAGGCCCTGCGATTCAGGCACCTGGCAATGTGCTGATTATAGTTGCAGTGCCTGCGGTCATGTGATCACCGTTTGTGATTTTCTTAGCTTGCTCTCTACAAGCAAAGTCAACAGGGAAAGCTGGAGTTCTTCACAACCCCGTGATTTTATTAACGACCAGGATAGAAAAGATCGTAAAATCAGACATAGTCCCACGATCATTCATCTAACAGCTGCACTGCTTAGAAATGGAACTTCTGGCCCCAAATTCTGGGCTACCTACATTCTGCAAGACAAGACTTCTTAGTCAAAGTATTCCCTACTTTGAAGTATCTGCATAAGAAAAATGTGTACAGCTAGTCCTGGACTTACAATCGTTTAGTGACTGTTCAAACTTACAATACTGCACTCACTTTTGGTCACCACAATGTAAAAAAGATGCTGAGATTCTAGAAAGAGTGCAGAGAAGAGCAACCAAGACGATTAGGGGACTGGAGTCTAAAATATTTGAAGAACTGTTGCAGGAATTGAGTATGTCTAGCCTAATGAAAAGAAGGACTAGTGGGGTGACATGATAGCAGTGCTCCAATATCTCAGGGGCTGCCCCAAAGAAGAGGGAGTCAGGCTATTCTCCAAAGCACCTGAGAGCAAGACAAGAAGCAATGGGTGGAAACTAATCAAGGAGAGAAGCAACTTAGAACTAAGGAGGAATTTCCTGATAGTTAGAACGATTAATCAGTGGAACAACTTGCCTCCTGAAGTTGTAAATGCTCCAACACTGGAAGTTTTAAAGAAGAGATTGGACAGCCGTTTGTCTAAAGTGGTGTAGTATTTCCTGCCTAAGTAGGGCGTTGGACTAGAAGACCTCCAAGGTCCCTTCCAACACTGTTTTTCTATTCTGTTCAATGGCACTAAACATTGTAACATGACCATTTTTCACACTTATGACCATTGCAACATCCCTGTGGTCACATGATCAAAATTCAGAAGCTTGGCAACTGACTCATATTTATGATGGTTGTAGTGTTCCCTGGGTCACGTGATCCACTTTTGTGACATTTTTACAAGCAAGGTCAGATTCACTTGATAACCGTGTTAGTAGCTTTAACAACTGCAGCAATTTAATGACTGTGACGAGAAAGATTGTAAAATGGAGCTAAACTCACTTAACAATTGTCTTGCTTAACAACAGAAATCTTAGGCTCAATTGTGGTCGTAAGTCAAGGACTACCTGTAGCTTCCCTCGCTTTCTTGGGCAATTTAATGCTGCAACTTCAAAGCAAAATATGTTGTTTGTTTGCTGTGATTTTGGTAACAGTTGTCTTACTCAATATGCTTTTTTTGGGAAAAGATTGTTAGCCTGTTTCTATTTTGTTCTCAGGTCTGTCTTACTCTGCAAGCTTCATATGCCCAGAATGTGTCTGATAATAACAAATGATACACCAATAATAACATTAAACAGATGATGAGGAACAATCAAAGTAAATGCACAGAATTTAAATTTTAATGTTTTTCATCTTCCTTTCTCTCTTGCAATCTATGCAAGATTACTTTTTTAAAGGAATCTGTTGGAAAATAATTCTATTTTCCTCTTGCAGGATCTGGCATGAATTTATTGCAGATTCGGGAAAAAGTTTGGAATCCAGTCTGCCTTGATGCTTGTGCACCCCAGTTGGGAAAAAAACTGGGCCAACCTGTTCCCTCCAGCAAAATACTGGTAGGATTAACTGTGGAACAAATAAGCAAAAGTGTAACAGTGGGAGAAATCAGAACTAAAATCTGAAGATCCTGTATTTATTTGGAGTGTCAATGGGAAATTTTATGCTACACGTTTATTGTCATTGTCCCTATGAGTCAATGTTGATTCCTGGTGACTGCTTGGGTGAATCCCTTGAGGGTTTTTGATAAGGTTTTGGAAGTGATTTGCCATTGTCTTTTTCCTAGGGCTATGAGAGAATGATGCAACTAGTTGACTTTGTGCCTAAGGCAGGACCCATAGTGTTCTAGTTTCTTTCTTGGTGCCTTAACCAGTAGATCAAACTGTTCCTTAGTATAGATTTAAACTGACTTAGATTGTCATTATTTCTCCTGAAGATAGCTTATTCAGGCTCTGTTCACCTGATTCACAGGTACCTTTGGAAGAAATAGAGGCATTTTCAGGCATTTCTTATTAGTAGTGTTGATGGATCCTTGCTACGAATTCTGTCTCTCAATTCATCTATCCGTGCATCTATGTATCAATGCATCCATCTCATTCCATCCCATCTAACCACTCACTCACCCTCCCACCCACCCATCCATATACCCATCAACTGGCTGACCCATCCCTCCCTCCTTCCCTCCATCCCATCCCATGCATTCACCCATCTGTTGACCAACTGACTGACTAACCCATCCATCCACCCCATCCCATCTAACCACCCAGCCAGCCACCAATTCACCAACCTATCAACTGACTCACCCACCCATCCATCCATCCATCCAATCCCATCCCATCCATCCACCATTGACTGATTGAACCATCTATCCATTCATCCACCATCCCGTCCCATCCTTCCCTCCATCTATCCCATCCATGTATCAACCATCTCATCCCATCCTTCCCTCCACCCAGTCCATCCACCCAGCCCATCCACTCCATCCACCCACTCACCCATCCATCCATCCCATCCCATCCCATCCCATCCATCCACCCATTGACTGACTGAAGCATCCATCCATCCACCATCCCATCCCTCCATCCACCTATCCCATCCACGTATCAACCATCTCATCCCATCCCTCCCTCCACCCAGCCCATCCACTCCATCCACCCACTCATTCATCAAACCATTTTTTGTTTAAACCTGTCTGGTTTTTATAATAAGCAATTAAAAACATAATTCACCTTTTGCAAATTCAAACTGCCGGAATCATTTTGATTTTCTTCCAAGGGAACTGGGAACTGTTACCTGGAAGGGAAGGTCCCAACATTCTTTAAAGGGGGGGAGCCTTGGTTTTTCTGTTCAAAATGTTTTGTTCTGAAACCAAATCATCATATCATTTGTTTCTATAAATAATCGTTAAATTTCATTCTTTAGGGTTTAATTTCACCCTATTACACTGAACGCTTTGGGTTTAATCCTGCCTGCAAAATAGTAGCATTTACTGGAGACAATCCAGGTAAGAAGGTTTAAAATTCTGAAGCAAGGAACTTTTTTTTTTGTTCAGTTTTATCTTGAGGAGGCAGGTGAAATGTCTGTATAATTATTCCATAGCAAAAATGTTCTCTATGAATAATTTCTTCAACGATGTGTTAAAGTAGACATTTCCTGGAGAAACCTTGGTATTTTCAAAGTTTAATGCATGCAGCCGTTCAAAGAAGAAAAATCTACAAGTAGTTCTCAACTTACACCCAAAACCGGCGCCAGAATTTCCATTGCAAAGCAAGTTCAGTGAGTCGCATCTGATGCCTTTTTTTTGCTATGGTTCTTAAGTGAATCACTACAGTTGTTAAGTGAATCTGTGGTTGTTAAGCAAATCTAGCTTTCCTTTTGACTTTGCTTTCTGGAAGCCATCTGGGAAGGATGCAAATAGTGATCACATGACCCTCGGACACTGCAGGAGCTGTAAATATATCCTGATTACCAAGTGTCCGAATGTCTACGGAGATTCTCAGTCATCCAGGTCATGGTTGTCCCAAAAGTGCTTTTTGAAGAAGTAACTGGACTTTCTTTGATTTTCTTTGAAGACTCTTCGCTACTCATCCCAAAAAGAAGAGTGTTCTGACCCAGGCTTCCTAAACAGTAATTATCACAAACTTGTTTTAATAGCAAAACCTATTTCATTGCAACGCTGGGAATTGTTTTCATTCCCAGCCGGTAACAAATCTCAAACAGTCCCTAGAGATAAGCACCCACCTTTCTTTTATGTGAAGTGCTGCCAAAACAGAAGTAGATTGGTTTAGTTTCCTTTATTGTCATTGGACCTCGTACACGAAATCAAACACCATCTTCAGTGCACATCAAGACCATGAAAATAAACACAAACACACATCCTTCACCCTCCACACATTGAACTGAAAACTCCCGATACCTCACTATACAGTAGAATTCAACAGAGCTGCTGCCCTAGGATAGAAGCTGTTTTTCAGCCTATTTGTCCTTGTTTTTATTATTCTGTACTGTCTGCCAGATGGTAATAGTTGAAAAAAAGGGCTCCCAGGATGAGATGGATCTTTGAGAATGTATCCAATTAACTATGAATGAGAAAGTCTCAAATTAACTAGAAAAGAAACCAACCAAAGTACAAGAAAACCAACTGGAGTATAAAGAGCTTCAAGGATGACTCAGAACTACTTTGCTTCCTGCAAAGGTTTTGTCATCTTGGCCTGTCCTTTATACCTTATGGGAGGGGCAATCACCACCCAGCCTTACTCCCGAGTCGGCCCTTTTGTTTCAGCTACTCTCGCCTTCTAGCAGCTCTGCACACCTGCACACTGGGAACAGGCTCCCCTGGGTCCTCTGCCTTGCTGCTGCCAGACTCCAGAAGCTCCAAAGGCAGCACCCCACCCCCAGATGGTCCTGGCTCCATCTCTACATCGAACACAGGACCCTCATTCAAGTCCTTTCCAGACTCCCTGACTGGTCCCCTTTCCTCCCCACTGTCCAATTCTGCTGCTGGCAAACCACAACAAAGAGCTTCAGAGCTGAAGAAGCTCCTTGGATAAGAAGCGAAACATCTTCAAAGAAAAACAAAGGAAGTCCAGTTGCCTCTTCAAAAAGTACCTTCGGACCAAGGCTCCGAAGTTTGGTCACGTGACTATGATCAATGGTGCAATGGTTGTAAGTTATAATCCACTTACAAACAAATGGTTGTAAGTTGAGGACTACCTGTACTTAGGTCCAACTAGAATCTCTAGAACTTGAGAGATGATAATTGATTATTTCAGTATTACCGGTCTTCATGATGGTTCAGATTGGGTATTTTTCTTTTTCTTTTCTTTTATAAATCGTATTAGTTACATATTAAAATATTGGACACAGTGTAATTGTCCTGGCATTGTCTCTGCCACATGCACTGGGTATTTTCTTGTTCGTATGCTTTGCATAGTCTATTATTTAACTGAACTTTATTTGCATTTTCAGCGTCTCTGGCTGGAATGAGACTTTCTGAAGGAGACATAGCAGTAGGTGCCCCATTTTCATTCACTAACATTCATGTTGTTAATTGGGTTAGGAGCCTTGAGGTCACGAGGCTTAGAGAGCACCAATGAGTTACGTATTTTGATCCTGTCGATTTTGGTGGAATAGAAGTGGCCCTGTCCCTAAAATCTTTCCTTGCTCATGAGTAGCATCTAGAGAAGCAAAATTTCATGATCTATCTCAGCACAGAAGTGGGCGTTGCTTAGTCATGAGCCGCCCACTAATTTATTATCGCTATTCATTTAAAGATATCCTTGACTTGCAATAGTTTGTTTAGTGACTATTTGGCGTTACAACGGCATTGGAAAAAAAGTGATTGATGACCAGTTTTAGAGACAGTTGTTAAATGAGTTTTGCCCCATTTTACGATCTTTCTTGGTGTGGTTGTTAAGTGAATCACTGCAGTTAAGTTAGTAACATGGTTGTTAAATGAATCTGGCTTCTCCCATTGACTTTGCTCATCAGAAGATTACAAAAGGGATCACATGACCCCTCCCCCCCTTCCTCCCAGGATACTGCAATTTAACACAATTCTTCAACATAGACTAGTGTCTAAACTTCTGGACCTTGGCCTTTCTCATTCAATCTGCCTCTGGATTATGGATTTCCTATCTGGACACTCACAGAGGGTCAGATTAGGTAATCATACCTCTTCAGCCCTTATTCTTAACACTGGTGCATCACAGGGTTGCGTGTTGAATCCCTTACTTTATGTGCATGACTGCATTCCCATTCACACTAGTAATACTGTTACTAAATTTGCAGATGATACAACAGTGGTGGCACTCATTTCCGGGGGGGATGAGTCTGCCTACCGAGATGAGGTGGACCGGTTGCTTTCATGGTGTGGAGACAATAACTTGGTCCTCAACACCAATAAGACCAAGGAGCTTATAGTGGACTATAGAAGGAACAGGTCAGACATCCAGCCCTTGCTTATCAATGGAGACTGAGCGGAGCAAGTGGCCAGTTTTAAGTTTCTGGGTGTTACCATAAAAGAGGACCTGACCTGGGGTGCTCACATTGCAGCCCTGGTCAAAAGGGCCCAGCAGAGATTATACTACCCGAGGCTTCTCAGAAAACAACAATTGAATGAGAAACTGCTGGTGACCTTCTACCGCTGCACCATAGAGAGCATTTTAACATACTGCACCTCTGTATGGTTTGCCAATTGCACAGTGGCAGATAGGACAGCACTCCAGAGGGTTAATGTCATTGCCTCTCAGAGGATCATTAGTTGCCCTCTTCCCCTCTTTGGAAGAGCTTTATAGCTCCCGCTGCCTTAAGAAAGTTCAAAACATTCTCAAAGATCCATCTCATCCTGGGAACCCTTCGTTTGAACTATTATCATCTGGCAGACGGTACAGAATAATAAAAACAAGGACAAATAGGCTGAAAAATAGCTTCTATCCTAGGACAATAGCTCTTTTAAATTCTACTGTATTGTGCAGTGTTGGTGTGGTGTTGCGGGTTTCGATTCATTGTGTGGAGGGTGAAGGATGTGTGTTTGTGTTTATTTTCATGGTCATGATATGCAGGAATATGGTGTTTGATTTTGTTGTATGAGATGCAATGACAATAAAGTAAACTAACTAACTAACCGTCATAAATATGAGTCAGTTGCCAAACGTTTGAATTTTTATCAGGTGAGCATGGGGGATGTTACAACAGTTGTTAGATGTGAAAAACACCCATAAGTCTCTCTTTTTTTTTTCAGTGCCATTTTAACTTCAAATAGACCCCAAGTGAATTGTTGTAAGTCATCACCTGTATAAGTGATAAGAAAGCTTGCTTGTTGATGTGTGATCGGAATGGCACTTCAGTTATCAGCTGAAGTTGCTCTTGGTCATTGAGGATTATGTAGCCATGAATTTTCCACAATAAATCCTTAGATACCATTAGAAGTTTTTTTTTTCCTGCTCTGTGTTTTATATAAAGCTGGCAAGCAAAGCCAATTCCACAAGAATTCAATTGCTGCAATGTGTAATTTAAAGATGATTAGTAGGGCAAACAAATAGGTTTGATTTAGTTCCTGTATTGCTTTTTTATGCTTTTCTGCTAATAACCTTGATTATTTTCTTCCCCAGATTAGCCTCGGCACTAGTGATACCCTGTTTCTCTGGATTAAAGAGCCAAACCCTGCTCTGGAGGGTCACATTTTCTGTAATCCAGTTGATTCTCAAGCATTTATGGCCCTACTTTGGTGCGTGGCTTTCTACTACACGTTGTATCAGATTAGCTTCATAAAAATCAAAATTCGTGTCACTTGTTCTAGTTCTTTAATGTTTCAGATTTTATTTTCAAAATGTACTTCAGAGCTTTATTTTTATTTATTTAGTTTTTTTTAATCCTGCCTTATTATATTAATAAATAACCCAAAGTGGCGAGAGTATCTAATAACCATTTTCCTCCTATTTCGTTTACTTTATGACATGGGTTGGGTTGAGAGAGGGGGACTGGACCAAAGGTTAGTTTATTCTAAGTACTTTACTACTCAAAAAAGGAAGATAATAGCATGAAGCATTGCATTATTACAGATCTTTGCATCCTCCGTTGTATATAAATGGTGCTTAACTTATGACCACAATTGGGACCTGAATTTTCATTGCTAAGTGAGTCACGCCCAATTTTACAGCCTTCTTTAAGCAAATCACTTCAGTTCTTAAGTAAATAAAATGGTTGTGAAACAAATCTGGCTTTCCCCATTAATTTTGCTTTTCAAGAGCTATGTGACTCTGAATTTTGATCATGTGACTGTGGGGATGTTGTGATGATCTTAAGTGTGAAGAATTGTTGCAAATCACTTTTTTTAGTGCCGTTGCAACTTAACGATGGCTAAATGAATGGTTGTAATTTGAAGACCCCCTGTGCCAGGGAAAAACCAATAACTTCACAGGCAAAGTTGCAATGAACAATCCATTTATTCAGATTACTTACAAATTATTTTTTTGCTTGATTTGTAAAAATTAATGAAAGATCTTTCTTTGAAGATCTTTACAATTTTTAATTAATTACAATTAATTACAATTTTTCTTGTTTTAGATAGCTTCACCACCACTGTTACTAACGCAGCGGAAGTGGACACCTAAATCCTTTAACTTGCAAAAACTTTGGGTGTGTGAAAATAATATTGCACGCATTATCTTTCCTCACCAGAGACTTTAGTAAATTGGTTTATAGAGGAGACTGTTCGGTTATGTCCAATCTTCTCCAATTGCAGAAGGTGTTAAACTTCCATAGTTCACCATGGGCCATAATGCCTGAGGGAATTATAGGAGCTGGAACCTGGAATGCAGTAGCAATAGGATCCCATTAATTGAAACTCAAGGATCTAGTCCCTCATTTATTACACATTTAAGTTAAATCATGGTGAGGCATCAGGAAGCCTCTGGCCTTGGTATCAATATATATTTGTGAAAATAGGCTTTTTTCTTAAGATTCACACTGCTACTTGGCAGCTTGCAGATACTTTCTGATTTTCTCGTGCCAAATAATAAAATGACGTTGCTTCAGAATTCTGACTGAACCTCTTGGAGTAATCAAAGAAATTGTGTACTGTTGTTTTAGCTACAAGAATGGCTCCTTGATGCGAGAGAAGATCCGAGATGAACTTGCGTTGGGCTCGTGGGAAGAATTCTCAAAAGCTCTTGAATCAACAGCAGCTGGAAATGGTGGAAAGGTGGGTAGGTATCTTGCAAGGCTTATAATTTTTTCCCCCCTCTCATCCGCTAGTTAGGTGGGGTTTATTCCAGGAACGAAGCAATTGGAGGAGAGGCAGTGCTTCTGCCTGTCTCATCAGATGGCTTGGCTGGAACTAACTCGCCCAGTGTTTCTCTATCTTGGCATCTTTGAGACGTACAGATTTCTACAATTCCCCAGCCAGCTTGCTGTCTGTCTGGTTTTGTCTGGTTGAAATAAACCATATTCGTACATTCAAAAGACGCAATAAAAAGCTAAGAGGAAAACAAGAAGACTAGAACGAAAAGACTTTCTAAGCAGGGATTAATACCAGATAAATAATCAAACAGAAACAATATCCTAATCTGGGAACTACCAAGGAGAAAACTATCTCTTACCCCCCCCCCGCCCCCCGGTAAGGGGAGCTACTGTATATAATAAACAAGCGGGGAAACCCCCCACAGACTCGCTAGCACTGATGATGTTGCTTAGTCAATGAAGTGTCTGTAAAACAAAAAAAACCACAGAGAGCGCAGAAAGGACCAAAGGCTCCATGATGAAGAAGTAACTTAGCAACCTATTTTTGAATTTATGACCTTTGCAGGTTTGTAAAGCAAAGGAAAGCTGAAGTGTATACATAGTTGTGGCTTCAGTTTGCAGTCACTTCATTTTAACGCAAGGACCTCCTTGTTCGTTCATCAAAATGCAAAAAAATCTTGGGGGAGGTTGACATTTATTTAATTGTAATTCTTTGAAGACTTAATAGTTCTAAGTTTACTTTTTCTAATATTTAATTTAGGTTTTTATTTTGATGTGAGGGAAATTACACCAGGAGCTGTGGGAATTCACAGGTTCGATGCCCACAATGTCGAGGTAAGAGCCCTTATATCTCTATTTATGGGTTACTCCAGATTTCCTATACCATGAAGTTTGAATTGACTTGTAAAATCACCAGGCACTAATTTTACCTTTCCTTCAAGTGCAATCCTAGACTGTTCCTTTATATTTTGAGGCCTCCAAAATGAATGGCTCAGCTTTCCATCATGAGATGCCCTCAAGATATTTTAGATTTCAATTCCCAGAATACACCAATTATTTCACAAATTAAACAGATGATTTACAAGCAGTCTTTGGGGCTGTTGTAATCTTCTGGGAGGTTTGTACGCATGTGACTGAACAACTGTTGCAAATAGTAACTATCCAGTTGTGGAGAAATCTACATAGGCGCCATACAGATAGTCCTCGACTTAAAACCACAATTGAGGCCAGAATTTCTGTTGCTAAACAAAGTGGCTGTTAAGTGAGTCAAACTCGATTTTACAAATGTATTGCCTTAAGTGAATCATGCAGTCATTAAACAAATCCAGTTTTTCCCATTGACTTTGCTCTTGGGAAGCCATCTGGGAAGGTTGCATGGCTATCACATCATCCCTGGATGCTGAAACTATTCTGAATGTTGCCAAACATTCAATTTTTGATCGTGTGAAATTTTGCAGCGGTTGTAAGTGTGTGGATCGATTGTAAGCCACATTTTTCAGTGTTATAACTTCAAATGGTCACTAAGTGAAGGGTTATAAGACGAGGACTGCCTGTACAAGCTAGCGCTACAGATGCCTGCCCCAAACAGGTGGCATTGGAGGCTTATACGTTTAGTTTCTTTTCAGACACCAGCATTCCCAAAGGAAGTGGAAATACGGGCCTTGATCGAAGGACAATTCATGGCCAAAAGGATCCACGCAGAAAAGCTGGGCTATAAAATACGTGAGTTTCCTTTCATCACGATAATGGTAAATTTGAGTAAAGTTGCCTACTCATCTCTGAGAAGTGGGTCATTTCTATCTTCTCCAGTTTTTTAAAAAAGTATTGTTTTATTGTATTAAAATAAACAAATGATGCATTATATTATTTAGATACAGTGGCATTTGTACAATATTAACTAGAGATTATTAACAGTATGATAATTTTGATATAAGTAACTTAGACTTACTTAAGTGACCAACGAAGAGAACATTAGCACCCAAGAGTTGAACTGTGGGGTCCTTGGCGCTTTCTGAACTTGGTTATTTTTTTGCAGATGTTTCATTACCAAACTAGATAACATCATTAGTGCTAGAAGGGTGTGGGGTTTACTGTTCGATTGTTTTCACAGTTGGTAGTTCCTTGATTCGGGTATTGTTTACTGCAGCAAACAACAGCCTAATCAAGGAACAATAAAAAAGAAAATACTCTCACTGATTTTGACAGAGAAACAGAGAGCAAATTATTTGTATATAGAGAGCAAATCCTTCTCTCTTTTAGCACTGATGATGTTAACCTAGTTGGCAATGAAAAATTGTCAAGGAAATAATCAAATTCTTAGAGCTTCAAGGGTCCTACAGTCACTTAAATCAGACGAGTGGTCTGGAGATTTAAATGAATGAATGAATACCTTTAAGAAAAATCTCATTATCAATATTAATAATGGTTTCTAAAATGTTAATAAACATGGTTTTCTTATATTGTACACTGAGCTGAAAGGTAGCGTTGATAAAGAGCAACAAAACACGTGCAATTAATTAAAGCACACTTTAATTTGAAATTAACGATTCTGCTTTTAGAGAGGCAACAGTGTCCAGAAGTCCTTTATCAAGATTAAGAAGTGAACGTTGCATTACAAGCACTGGCCTTTTCATAAGTCTGTACGGTGTCAAGATTCATGCACAAAGGGACCCAGACTTGTAGTGTTGGTGCAAGATCCACTTTGTCCTGTGGATATCTCCTGTTCACTGGGGCAAATGAGTCCTGTGATCTACCAAGGAGACTAATCTTCTGGTCTTCAGAATTGTTTTCAGTCTTCTTCTCATCCATGTGAAATTAATGGACTGTGGGCAGGCAAATTCTATGGGTTGCCCCTTTTCCCCCCCAACCAGTTATGTCCTTGTTGAGTTAATTCAAAATAGAATTACTCCACTGGCACTAAAACTGTTTAATTTCTGCTTGCACAAGTGTGTTTTGATGAACATATATTTACAGCTCCCAACTTTGTAGGGAGCCCTTAGCATGCCTGTTAATGGTTGGAATTAAAAGAAATCAATGTGGTGTTTAGGCATGAGACTAAACCCTAATTGGTTTTTAACTTCAAGCTATGACCTCACAGTTGTAATCATTGGGAAGGCTTCAGCCTTACAGTGCCTGTTGACATGTTCTATCTTAGCAGCTTTTCCTGTTCTTTGTGGCTTCCTCCTTAGTTGAATTAGTAAAAATATTAGGAAATACAAGCCAGAGTGAACTAATTGAGTATGCCATTATTTTTCCAATGTATGTGAGTTTTGGAGTAGGTTTGTTTTTGATTAGCCCTCATCCTAGCTAAATAGAACAATCAGATATTATCACATATAGTGTGACTGTAGTACTATTATTTATCCTTTTTACTATCTTCTTTACTTCCCCCTTTTATTGGTCGTGGTATTCTTCCTCCTCTTCCTCTTCTCCCCCCCCCCCCCTTCTCTCTGGTGCTTTACATGTACATTCAGTGCTTCTGTACCAGAGACAGATTCGTTGTGTGTCTAATCACATTTGACCAAATAAAATATTCAGTTCAGTTTAGATTCTGAACAAATATGCAGAGGCGGTTTTGGACTCCCTGCCTGGGAGACCTATTATAAAGCAGCAGTGTTAGTGTGGATAAAGGATTGGATTAAATTGGAAAACAAAATAACTTTAACACTAGAGGGATACGACTTACAAATAGGGTGGCATGCCTTCTTGTGGAATCTGAATAGTAAAATCCACTCATACTTTCAGAGACATACTTTACATAAATCTTTGATAAAAAAACCTGGTCAGATATTAGGAAAAACCACTACATCAAAGTTCCGATATGGTTGTCAACAATGGAGGCTATGTTCCACCCCAATACAATGGATATTAGTAAAAAGCTCAAATATCACCAAATTTTAGACATGGAAAGGAAACTCAAATCGATTCAAGAGTTAGAAAATCAAAAAATAACGATCGATCGTTGGTCATATTTTCAAATAGCAATAAGATATGAGAAAGTTTTAAAAGAATTTGGACTAGAAACAAAGAGCACTAAATCTGATAAGATACTTTTGGGCCAGAAAAAAAAAAACACCATGATATCCAAATTATATAACTATCCATTGGAATATGAATTAGCTGAGGAAATTGTGAAAGGACCAATGATAGCGTGGGCAAAAAATTTCGGTCATAACTGGGATAACTGGGAAAAAATCTGGCAGAGAAACCTTACAATAACTAAATCTGTATTTTATAAAGAGAACTTATATCAAATGATATATAGATGGCATTTAGCACCCTCCAGATTAGCAAAATTCTATCCAACATCAAACCCAATCTGTTGGAAATGGCAAAGGAAATGATGGTACTTTCTTCCATCTCTGATAGACATGCCCAGTGCTTAAAATTTTTTGGATCAGAATCAAAATTTGGTTAGAGGAAATCGTCCAAGGTGGATTGGAGTGGGAACCTAAACTGTACCTCCTGGGTATTATCAAAAAAGGTCGTTCTTCCAAAGTAAAATATTTGATAACCCACATATTGACAGCAGCACGAATCTCGCTGGCTCAATTCTGGAAAATGCCTAATATACTACCAATACAATTTATTATTCAAAAAATCTATGAATGTGCTGAAATGGAGAAGCTCAGATTAAAATTAAAAGGAAAGGCTGATTCGGAATTTTATTCAATTTGAAATAAGTAGTACAATTGGTTAGAACGTAAAAAAAAGAGAAAGTGGGAATTAAGGGGGGAAAATGAATTTACGAAACAGATTATGACACATACCCCAAAAGATAGGAATTTACAATGTTAGTTCTAGACTTCCTCGTTCTTTAATCAAGCAATAGATAGAATCTATCTGTAAAAATACATAATTATAACCCAACAATAAATATTAATAATAGATTATTATGTTTGATAGAGTATAAATAATAAATAACCTATAGGAAACAGGAAATAATTACCACATAATATTAATTAGGGAATATTTAATTTACTGTCAAATGTATTGAAAGAAAGTTTAATTAGTTTTAACACAAAGTGTTGTGACCTTTTGTTTGTATGAATTTTGGTTTTTTGAGTTTGTGTATTTGTATATTTTAACTTTGTATTTAATAAAGTTTTTTTTTTTAAAAAAGAATGTAATACATCTGAGATGTATAAATGGTGGTGGCTCTTTTTTTAATTCCTTAGAAGTGTTTGACTATTGAAAGCAAAATTTGGAATAAGTAGATAGTTGGTCTAATATTGATGGAAGGGATTTTAGCACAATTTAAGTAATTTCCTTGCAGGGTGTTATATAAGATCTAGCTGTACAACAGCCATTATGAAATACTGTTATGGGAATATAATCTTAATGCTGTTCAACATTTGTCATGATCTCATATTTGGACTCTTTCTGTCCAGAAGAGGGCATTAGATCCCATCTCATGGCTATTTTATGTGTTCGTTTGGTCATTTAATCCCTCCTGTTTAACTGTTCAGATGAATATCATGGCCGGTTTCCAGTTACAAAGCATAAAATGTACATCCCAGTAACTTTGTATCCCCGTTTAATCTAAGATATCAGAGAAAATCCTTCAAGGATGCCCTATGTTTTGCATCAGTCTGAAGTAGTATTTTTCAAACTTGGCAAATTTAAGATAGGTGGACTTCAACTCCCAGAATTCCACAGCCAGCATGAAGGGCGCAATTGAAATCATTGATATTTAGCTCTTCATTATTCCATTCTTTATTGAGCCAACTTTATTTTTTTTTATAAATAACTGCAAGGCAGCAAAAATATCTAATGTTCCTGCCCCTTCCTGTTTTCCCCACAACAACAACTCGATTGGGCTGAGAGAGAATGACTGAACCAAAGTCGCCTTACCAGCTTTCAGGCCTGGGTGGGATTAGAATTCGCCATCTCCTCATGATTGGGCCAGAGTCACCTAGCCAGCTTTCAGACCTGAAGCGGGACTAGAACTCACCATCTCCTGGGGATTGGCCCCAAATCACCTAATTGGCATTCATGTCTAAAGTGGGACTAGAATTCTGTCTCTGGTGATTGGCTCATTGTCACCCAGCCAGTTTTCATTCCTAAGGCAGGACTAGAACTCCCGGTGTCTAATCTGATGCCTTTACCACTAGAGGCCAGATTGTCTCTATTACCACTAGCTAATTTATTAATATATGTTACTTTTGAATTTGATCTAATACTGTCCATTTTTTTCCCCTACAAAAAGTATTTCCATGTGGGGTTTTTTTTTTAGTTTTTTTTTTAGTTTTTGGTGTGTGTGTGTGTGTGTGTGTGTGTGTGTGTGTGCGTGCATGCATGTCTGTGTTAAGTGCCTCCCACTCTTCTGAAAACTGTGTGTAACAATTGTAGTCAATGATTTAATTGGATCTACTGTGAGAATGCCTGTAGGCCTTGTTTCTTGGGCTCCCCAGAGTTTTGCAAAAGTTCTCAGGGATCAAATTGTTGAGATGCTAAAAATAAATCCTTCACCAAGGTTACCCAAGCCCATATGCTAAGAAAATACCAATAAACTACCATATGAGCATATGGAATGTGATGAATTTATTATGCAAATATGTTCGGTCTGCCTTTTTTGTATAATTTATTCTACTCTTCCTTGCCCTATGAAAGAAACGTGGAACTCTGCAGGAGTTATAGTTAAGATTCATCTATTAACTACAATCTCGTTCCTCGGTTCATCTCTCACTCTCTTTGAAGATATTCTCTTTGTATTTTCAAGT